TAATAGCTATTTAGCTGTTCCTTCTAAATCAGCTCAATTCCCAATCACAGAAAACAGATTCATTCTTCCACTTACTATGTTGCTTGGTATTTCATCTACGCAGTAATTCAGAAAGCATCAAAACATAATTAGAATTAAAATACAGAACTCCAAACTTTCCAAAACTTGTACACATGCATTTCACTAAAATGTCCTTGAGAGTCAAGGTATGTAGACATCATTTCCGCTCTGATACACCACATTTCCCCTTTTCCACATGGCCAGAGAAAACAGTATCTATAGTAATAGGAACCTTGGGTACAATTCTAAAAATCTGGAGCACCACTTGAATACTATCAATCAATTGCAAAAGTCAGTTTTACTTAGAACAGCTTACATTCTGTGACAATACAATACCATTAACACCTCAAACAACATCTGCCTATCCCAGGTTCTTGAGAAGGGCTTGATAGATAAAAATGCCAAATCCAAACTAAACATCTGGTTGACCAACTATAATTTATGAAATTTATATTCCACCCAACTCCCAGCAATTCTTGGTGACCTACAATTATTAAAAACATTTTAAAAAATACAAAACCCACTTAAAAAACAGCATATGATGATAACTAGGAGGGGAACAAAAAGGAAGAAAGGGAATCAATTATCTTTGCCAAAAACCTCAGCAAATAGCCAGGTCCTTAGGGTTCTTTGAAATACTAATAAGGTGGGAGTCATTTGAATTTCGAACTTCATTCCAGAAGACAGGTCCTGTTGCAGAGAACGTGTGCTTTTGGGGTTCAAAGACATGGCATTGTTTAACCGATGAAACCCAGAGTGCACAACCGTGCTAATTAGAACTAGCCAGGCAAATACTATGGGAGAGAGTCCCAAGCATTTAATATAATGAGTGGAAACCACAAAACCCAACTCTTTACACTCATTACATCATTGTGTGATATATTAAAACCTAAGAGAAGTTTGCAAAATGTATCTCAGTTAATCTTACCACTAGAGTACTTTATGAAAATTTATTTCCGTATTCATTAGTTTATTCATTTAATGTATATGGTTACCCATCTGAAATTCATGACTCTGAGCTAATAACAGTTAAAAATACTATAAAAATGTGTAAAAAAAATGTAATCAGCAAATGAGATGAAAACAACACAAATCAACATAGCCACTGCAGATTTTGCCACAAATCTGGATCCCCAAGCCCAGTGATAAAACAAAGTCTTGCAAAAGGCCAGCAGGGTTGCGGCAATCTAAAATGTTTGAGAAGAGGATGTTCCAAAGGGCAGGTGCCATAATAGAAAAGTGTCTCTTCCTGGGCCCTGCCATTCACATTTCCTGATAGATAGAACCCAGAGCATACTCTGCTGCCAGACCTAATGGGACAGGTAGACCTAATTGGGGAAAGAACACTGTACTACCTATATAAAATTAAATAGAGAAGTACACTACTTATCCAAAATACCATAATCATATAAAAATAATTGGTACTCACATTCCACCAAAGTATAGACAGTCCTCAACTTACAACCGGTCCCTTAAAACATGACTCTGCTTATTGGCATGGAGCCCTGTTGGGGACGTTCCATGACTGGAGGTGGTTAGTGGATTAAAAGAAGGCTCCACTTCCGCCCTATTTTATGTTAGTTCCTTCCTTTGCTAATTTTTGTTAATGTTAATATTTGCCATATTTATCATTTCAATATTTGGAATTGTTTTATCTTGTAGGCCACCCAGAATCAATTGATAGTGTGATAGGCAGTGTACAAATTTAATAAATAAATAAATATACCAGTATAGCAGAGTCCATTATATCTTTTCCCATTTCTAATATATCAATTAATAAATATAAATATCATTTTTTTATAAAATAAAATCTTAGAATTCACATAATTAATGAAATAGGCCCATCGCTAGCACAGAATTTACGATCTTTGCCTGGTTTTAAAATCAATCTTATATATATATGTCATAAAAGGTTACAAATCTCACAGAAAAATGTAACCTCACATGTGCTATGCTGTTTTGAAAAAGATTCTATCATGATTCTCATCCAAGACAAATTCCTTAGAAGCGAAATGAAACAGAATATATTTTACAGATTGCAAAAGTCACAATAATCTGCTTTATAATAGTGAAATATGCAAAATACTTTCCTACTGGAGGGAGTATCTGGCTAAAACTAATGAGCTTATTTAAAGCAATGTTTTAATATATATTATTACATATATAAACACCCCAAACATAGAAAAAAACTAACTTTTCTCCATTGCCCAATGCAAAAAATGATCCATCTCTGCTGAAAGTAAACACTTTTGTATTTTTCCCAGAATCCCTGAAAGCAAAAACAAAAATAAATTAGAATTCGAATAAAGAAAAAACAAAATTATTTAGATGAAATATAAAGTATCCATTTTAAAAAATGCTTCCAACAATAATTTTGTTATTATTTTGATATAAAAGAAATCAATCAATCAATGTTTATTAGAGCCATAAGGCCAGACATAATCAAAATATAACAGCAGTGACAATTTTACTTCCATATTTATAGAATATAAAACCATCAAACAATGTAATATAATCCAAAATTCTCAAAATAAAACATATTAAAAATTTTCAGACCTTGATAATGGTGCGACGTATTGTGCAAATGGTGGCACAAAATTGGGCAACCTGAATTGATATTTTTGGATCTTTATCCGAAAGTAGCAACTTTAGATAAAATTCATATCCCCTACCTGGAAACTTCTTCAATATCGGATATATAAGAATCTGTGTACAGTCTTTATATAAAGAACAATGAAGCAGCATATGGCTTAGGGTTTCTATAGAGCCATCACCACATGGACACAACTCTTAAACCGTCCAAAAAGGACTGCCAACGGCAACGTATCCAGCCTGGCTAAGGTGAAAGCTTTACGAAATTTCAAAATTGTAATGGAAAATAGATAAGAAGCTGGGAAGAATCCTTCTGGAAGCAAGTGACAAATATTGGAATGTGCCACCTTACTTAAGTTTGTTTGAAGATCGATATCCCAGATACGTTGTTTCAAGGCAGTTCTGGCATTATCAAATCCTAATGAACACAGAGTTTCCATAGAGAAGCCCAGTGATCTAATTTTATCTAGTGCTTTTCCCCCCCCACGATTTAAAATGGTCTATAAATACTAACGGGGCTAACCCTACAGGCATCAAAATTAACTTTAAAAGGTAAGTAGAAGGAACCATGCTCTAGCTTCCAATGAAACTAAACCTATTTCCACCCGTAGGATGGCATTTTTAATACTTTTTGGTACCATCAGTATGGCTCTAATAAACTTATTTTGAATAATTTCAATAGCATTAAGCTTTGCAAGTGAACATATTTGCGAGCCATAGAGGAGCTGAGGGACTGCCTTAGCTTGGAAAACCTTACAAGCTGCCGGGATGTAGTAAAGTCCTTTAGAATGATAAAATTTTATGATAGCTGATGAGGTGCGCTGTGCAACACTTGCCCGATAAAGAAAGTGAGTATGCCAGGATAGGGAGGCATGGAACTGCACTCCAAGATATTTATAGGTACGCACCTGTTCAATTGGAGTCCCATCAATTTGCCATTTATGGATCTTATGATGGTAAGAGGCAAATACTAAAACTTTAGTTTTTTCATAATTTATTAATAGTTTGTATTCTATGCAAAATAAAGCTAGTGCCCTAAGTGCTTTTCTCATTCCCACCTGAGAAGAGGACAAAATAACTATATCATCAGCATATTAGGTATCAGGTATTACTGAGACCTGGCTGGGCGTAGAAGGTGGAGTTCCACTAGTAGACATCTGCCCGCCGGGTTTTCAGGCATTCCATCAGCCAAGGACCCGGGGTAGGGGCGGGGGGGTAGCGGCCATTATAAGGGAGAGCCTTTGTCCAAGGGAGACCACTGTGCCTCAGTTAGACGGCGTGGAGTCGCTCTTTGTGAAGTGGGGGAAAGGGGTGCAAGTGGGCTTGTTGATTATATACCTGGCTCCCTGCTATGTATCAACAGCCCTGCCTGAGCTGGCCGACGTGATAGCCGGGGTGGCGGTGGGGACCCCCAGACTTATGGTCTTGGGGGATTTCAACCTGCCATCAGTGGGTGAGACGTCGGCGGC